GTTCCTTAGCTTTCTTAGTAAGTTAGGAGAAAGCAAAAGCTTTTGTTGCAGAATTATCTGCTGAGCACTTAATGAAAACCGCATATTGAGTCAGCTACGAGCATGTACGAAATATGTTTCGATAGATATCGATGGCTAACCAGATTCTACAGTATCAATGCAAATGTCTTCCAAAATATTTTATCGTATACTGCTCGCAACAGCAAGATTTCCTGGTAATATCTTAAGGAAGACAAGAATACGTTTATAAGCCGGGTGGCAAAAATAGCTAGGGAAGTGGCAAGTATGGGAATAATTTGCAACACAAAGCCATGTTGCCATGCCCCATGTGTCGATCAATCTTCACTTATCTCACTTCAATTTTATACATATATTCGTCTACTTACTTAAACATCCAGTAACACTATCTTCCTTAACAGAGATACCTAAGTGTGCATAGAATTTTGTAGGGAGTGGCTAATTAAGCCAAAAAGAAGGTGGACATTAATTTTTGAATTAAATGTATGTGCGCCAGTTGCGCAGTAATGAGCTCGAGCCTAGGCAATGTTGTGGTGCATACTTGCAATAGGCTCTGAAGGGTAACTTCAGCCCTGGTTCTCTGAACACAACATTAATGCTAAGACCTTCCCTTTTTAGCAATATTCAGAAATAATTAACAACAGCATATTAATTACTGGATTAACTTGCTAGTTAACGAGGGACAAATGGAGAAGCTACCAAGCTATTAATTAGAGGTATATATCTACTTGCACTCGAGTAAACCAGAGACGACAGCTCAACTTCACATGAGGCACATTAATTGAAGATTCACATGTGCTTTCCTTTGCTCTTCTATAGGAATCTTTAGAGCTGAAAGAATTTTGTAAAAGTAGACAAAGACTTCTGTTGAAGGACATCCATCCCACGACTGCAACTGTGTTCGAGCCATTACATTTTCTCTATGAGACCGTAGAGCTTTGGGGCTTACACTCAGTAGATTAGTGTAACTTGGAAAACGGAAATGCCATTTACGAGGCTTGCGAAGCCGATTAGAAAACTATATGACCCAGTCCGGGTAAGCTGTTGTGGTTGTTTTCTTTTAAAAAACATAGTTTTTGTTAAAATAATGGTAATCATCAACAGCAATTTTCCGTTTCTTCGAAATCCACATTTTTAGTCATTGTGCTGTCTGTAAAAGTGTTATGAGTCGATCTGTGTTCTCTTATGCTACAGACGTTACTATCCACGCACTTTATATGCCTGTCCATTGTAAAAGCATGCGTATATATAACAAGAATTTCACTACGCTGATTTAAATTAGCCAAAGGCAAATAGAAACCTTTGGGAGGAAAAACGTAAATTCCGACCCAGAAGCAATGATCTAGTCCAAAAACTGTCTTCCCTAGCCTAAGTCGTATTTTTTTCACTATGAACTCACTTATACTTCTGTTACGGTAGCGTTATTCTATTTTGTATCAATGCTATTATATTTTCTCTTATTACAGTCAAAGATAGAGCCCGACAGTGGGCTTTTTATAGCTTGCCCTATCACGCTTCCATTGTTGCATTCTCGTTAATGGATGTTCAGTCTGTAAACGTTTTCATAATCATGATTCTAATACGAGTTGAAACTGAAATACCGCTCCTTTCAACCCTTCTATTTCATATACTGATTTCATGTCGAGATTAAGGGCAAAAACTTGTTCGTCAAGCGAAACATCCCAGCCTTCATTAAGCCATACATGCTACCTGTCCAGACACAGATCCTTGTTAATCCGAAATGCTATTTAATGATCCAGATAATGAGACAACACACAAGTTGGGCAAATGAAAATTACTTGCAGCGCCGGGTGGGTGTAGGGGTGATTCCAAACATGGCTTAATCCCTGGCTTTTTTACCCTATAACTGATTTTCTCGTGAATAAAACTTTGCGTCTATGTTGACTTCATGCGCGAAGTAATTTTCATCGGATCATTTACTCATATATATTGCAATGGTCTCAGATGAGGTTTCTCCCTGCTGGACGATAGCAGGCATTACAGGCGTTATCTTAACTATCAATATCAGTAGATAGCACGATCTGGGGGAGAAAGTTGAGGCTTGGTAAATACAACCTGTAAATCTTCACAGTTGCCTAGAATACTTTTCGAAAATATCCCTATTATAAAAATGATTTCACTGAATTCTACCTGCACCGTTGAGATGAACTGATCCTTTTCGCACTGACGTTGCCAATTACCATATAGTAAATTGTGTGACATACGCGAATCTCGGACAAATGGTGCAGCCAGCCATTAGGGTAACACGGTCACTGTAGAAACAATTTCATCGAAGCTACTGCGTCGCAATTAGTAGGAATATTTAGTTATTATTATTATTATTAAGCGCGCTAGTTAATAACTCGGCGTTCATACATCTGTATATATTGCTATCTGATTCCGAACGAATGTTGTTCGAAGCGGAAACCAAATTCATTTTTTATCTAAAATGAAACATTTATTAATCATTTACCAACTTCTAACTCGAATACGTTGTCAGGTTCCAACTTCGTACCGTATTTGCATACCTTTATAATTGCAGCCTTTCGCTCCTGTCAGATGCGTACGGTATGTCCGTAGATCTCCACGACTTCGAGGTAGTGATCGCATCTGTAATTTCATCTACGTCAAGAACCTTTCGGTGATCAAGTATCCACGCATGCTCACTTCTTTGGAAAAAAATTGCCTACGCATAAAAATACCATATCAAAAACTGAACCCATTTACCGCGGCTGCGACTCAACACAAATGGTTTGCGTTGACTGAGGCCTTTAGGGTGATATCTACCGTATTTTTGACCGCGTTGGCCCGTCCTTACCTAGCAGGCGTAGTCTGTACTGCTACACTGGAAGTCAACTCCCTAATACTGTGCAACGTATCCTCATCGCTAGAGCGGTAACCAGTACTACGGCTACTTGGAGCAGTCCTATTCTCGTAGCATATAAAGAATCGCCTATAAACAACGAACACTATATATACTATGAACTTTGTCTTCTTTCTCATTACGATCATCAATGACAGCTAAGAAAAAAGCGCCAGAACGAAGGAGCACTCTGATGTGTTGTCACCATTCTCGAGTCGTTACTTCTAATGACTGGACAGTAGAAAATGGCGCTGCTCCGTTTAGTGAGATGTCCACCGCCTTTATCGGGCTAGTTTCGTCGCTAAGATTTACCTAAACGTCTTAGCTAACCGCAGCTACACCAATAACAGTAAAGAAATTCGGAGTACGTTCCATATTTACAGCCATCTGTAGTTATGCTGCTGTTGTTGGTACTACTGCTGGTACAACCTCTTCCATATAATATTATCAAGCAAGTAAAAGATTTTTTCTGTCTCTAATTTTTCGTTTTTAGCTTATTTGTAATTGTGCGATTTGTTCAGCTGCCCGTTTCTACATGGCCTTTTATAAAGAGCTGTTGATATTGGGAATCGCTTCTAGACTGAGCCCCCATACCTCTCTTGAAGCTTGTGATAACGTATTTTATCATCGCCAGGTTAAGCGATGTCGACAAATAAATCTCCTAAAGAGGCGAAAAGATAAATTATTGAACAATTAACGCCTTCGACTGTTCGGGGGCCTTAGTCGTCATCAGCAAGCGCCAAACGCGACACTGCCAACAACCGCAGCAGCAAAGAGCACAAATCTTTGGCTATATCATCACCGCAACAGTACGCGGTAGACGGGCTGTGTCCAACCTGCAGGCAACTCTGTAGGGACGCACACACATGATATAAAGGGACACCCATACGTCGGCATATGTATAAACAGATCGCCGGATGCGGACTCATACAAATACATAGGTATCTAGGCAGGCACATGCACGCAGGCGGCCACAGAAAACATCCAGCACATGGTGGAACTAGTGTTACTGGCTAGTTGGCCCATCTCTCGTCGGCTACAGATGATTCGTAGCGTTGACACGACAGCGCTCTGGCCGTTGCTACTAATGCTAAAAAAAAAAAAATACGGAAAACGAGAGGTTCACTTTTTTACGCGACCGTCTATTCCTAGCCATTGGATAGCGACTGATCAGATCTCTAGCGCCATAGCTGCTGCTGCTGCTGCCGCTGTCGTAACCGACGTCAAAAGCAGCTGCGCGTATTTCTTCGGTTACTTTATTGGCATTAGTTAACAAGAAGAACACGGACAAGCGGGCCAAGTGAGCGAGGTGTGAAAATTGGTGGATATTTTTCATTGGAGAAAAGATCGTCGTTTATGCCTCGGTTGATGCTAATTTTTATATTCGTGTTATCCATTTATTGTTGTCCCTTTGCTCCCTTTTCGCTCTTTTGTAGTTCTCGTAACTTTTCTACTTCGTGCCTTTTTTTCTGTTTGTCGCTCTCGCCTAATGATACCTGCAGGCGAAATGATTACACTGCGAGCGAATAAAGAACACAAGATAATGGCACAAAAAATTACTTGCGTAAATTGGCAATGAACAGATTCAGCTTGTACATTTGGCTCCAAACACAAACGACGCTCTGATCCCGAAAAGATTTGAAGTGTGCCAGTTTTTAGGTTGCGTAAAGTATTACTAATTTAAAATGTTGGTAAAGGATACGTGCAGCTAAGCTGAGGACCTCCATGGAGCCTTTCGGCTTAGGTACTTCCATAAATTATGCATATGCCATGCCACATACTTCTGCGTCACACATACGTTACGTAGTCCTGTCGCTGCATTGTTATAGGCTGAAATAATGCAATAATTTAACATTTCGTACTAGAGAACTATGCTACGTGTTTGCTTAATGTATCTACATACTTTTGTCTATGAATGACAAGATATAGTCTGGAGTCATCGATGTTCAAATATTCCATTACGAGGTACACGAAACAAATTACGATGCTCTATATGTACATAGCTGGATGGAAAAAGTGATACATCGCATTGAAACATATGGAAACGGCCGGTAGGGAAGGAAGGATGCACAAGAACTTCACGACTCTCATCACGAACTTTTTTTGTCTCGCTTTTCAGTCCGTTGATCCGTTTACAATGGGTATACAACCAGCTGGAAGGCGAACCCTCCACAAAGAACCCGCAGAACGTGATTTTATTCGAGCAATAAGAACGTAGGCCTTTTCTGTCGTTCAGTGAGAGAGGAGGTTAACCATGAACAGTGTAAATCAACGGCGGGGCCCCGTTGTGCGCGCCTGTATGTGCATTAAAAGGTCGCCAAGCTGAACGGAATATCAACAACAAAAGTTACCCTACTCGTTCGGATTTGATCAAGCGACCCTTCAAAGGAGGACAAAACAAAAAAAAAAAACACTCATTGATAATACCAGGAAACAGGACTGAGTCGGCGCAGGCACGGGTATGCTTACAATGGAAGGATGCATTTTCGTCACATTTTTCACCTTTGGATAGAATACCTATGGCCAGATTACGCATCATACGTCATCAGCGACATAAATAATTTCAAATGCGGTCTTTTCGGCAACCAGGAAGTTATCGGATCGATGAGGTCTCTTGCAGTCCATGTTACCCCTCGTCGTTAGTAGTGTTCGCCAACGAATCTTCTGATGACGAACGCATCTATCAAAAACTAAACTTCTCAGCGTATTATTTATGTACGACTTTGTTATAGCTTGCAAAATGGCACAGTTGTTGTAAACCGTATATTGTATATATATATATACATAGTGTTTATGAGTACATGATTTCATTATGGCGGGTTCAGTTCTCCGTCCTAAGTTAAGTGTGACATAAAGTGAAAACGAATAAATTGATGTTCCGATAGATTTTTTTTAGTAGTTTCACGAAAAAGGGCAACTCTTTGCACGGCTCTGACCAGATCGGGAAACAGCAATACAAGAGGAGGTGATCACGGATAAGCTTAATACGGCACACCTAAGTTTACCATGAATTATATACGCTAACCATAATATCTGGTGATTTACATATACACCATTCGTAAATATTTGTTATATATTACATTTCTGTGCGTCGGACGCAAGCACTTAAGCTAGCAACAGAGCACAGACAATAACAAAAAATTCCGTTCCAAAATTGTATTTATATGCGACACAGTTATTATAAAGATTATATATATATATATAGAACACTTTAAAAGCAACGATGGACATACTTAGATAATGTATATGCCCTCAGCCGCAATCTCATCGATGATATCAAATACTAGCATCTCAGCTCTTCTTATTATTCGCATTCCCTTCATTTCATTCGTTTAATATATCTACAGGCCCGTCACACTATTCGCTCAACCCATGTAAGCAAGGCCAGCATGCTAGTTAGCTTTGCTGATTTTCTAAAGGGCTTACTCTTGTGAGATATAAAGTTTTCAAGCACACTAGGCCTTATCGCTCGCCAGGGTGCGTTTTAGCCACAGCGTTGTCTCCTTCACCGTGGAGTATGCTGCAGTCATGGCATCGCCTCGACCACTCTTGGCGATCTTTTCGTTCCACCTACTCGTACTAGTATTTCTTTAATGTTCGTCCACCAGCCGCTTAATGCCAGGAGTCAAGCCCCTCTCTGCTCCGCAGACGGCGCAAAATGTGGCGGTTGCCATGTGGATGACCCATACTGACTCTTGGTTTAGTATAGAGCTCCTGATAACCGACACTGCCTTCCCTTTGTTCCTACCCTAAAGGGTCGGTAGCGTCTGTGGGTGCGCGGTTTCCTAAGGGGGCATTGAGTGCCCCTAAGCTACTTCTCGGAGTTTCGTCCCTTCTTGTTTCCAAGCCAGTTGGCTCTTCGCCGTTTCTCTCAACCAAGTGCCTAATTGCGTCATATTTCTCCTTGCACGTGTCGCCTACCGGGCAAAAGGAGAACGTTAGTCCTTTTGTTAGGAGAGGACCAGGCCATCGAGAGTAAGCTTGCTCCCTACTACGTCATCTTTCCTTTCTGTGCCTGCGTTTCTCTACCTCTATTAGAGGTTCAGCCAAAGGCAATTTCGGGTGGCGTCAACAGCCAGGCAGGGCACTTTGCCCCCAACCGTTGTAAGAAAGGTGAAGGAGCACTCCCAGCCAACCAAGCATATATACATACATCAATATATGTATACAGTTCGAGTACAACTAGTGACAAGCGCGTCTTCGATGTTCTGACCCTGCAGGAACCACAGGCGAGTGTATCCTGCCCCGGCCGCATATTCTGACGGCGGTTTCTTTGACATGATGGCCAGATGGCGTATGCTGCTGTCGCTCCCCAAGCCGTTGTTTTTCCTCCACTGAGAGGAAAAAGAGCAACGGAGGAACTACTGAAGGAACGACTGCTGATCAATTTTCTTCTCGAGCGTGTCTGTTGCAGAGATTGCGCGCCTAAGGTAATTGTGCTCTCCCTTCTTGAAGAAAAGGTTCCTATTTCCATCTCTCAGACCGCTTTCCACTCGAGCCACCTCCCTTCTAATGTATATCAGTCTGTCAAGTTGTTTTGGGTGCCCGCTAGATTCTTGTTTCTTCAGTTCTCGCCCACAACACAGTGTCACAAACGTACAGAGGTACCTCAGCTCGTAAACAGATCGGCGACTCTGGTTCCCGCAAAGACCCGATGTAAATGTGTTTGCCTAGATCGGCACAACATTAGTTACTTTCCTAAAGGTAAGATTAAGCGTAAAGCACTCGGACATTCTTAAACACGATGCTCTGATTCCGCTTGACCTACATACAGTATTTGGACTGTCTATAAGAAACGAAGGAATCTGCTGCTGCGTGCATCAGTGTCCCAATGACCCTTAGGTTGACCGATTTCGACTTGCCTAGATACAGACATTATTAATGCTAAATAGAATGTCCTGCATGGTTTAACTCGGCGGATATATTTTCTGCGTAATAGCTGCACCGACATGGGTAAGCCTACGGGTGTGTGGGCAATCGATTCTATTGATTAGATCATTTGCCGAGTGCACCAGTAAACCAATCGTTAACCTTGCAAAGGACCGTTCGAATGTGTCCTAAATAGGTGTGGGTCTGATTTTTGCCTACAAAGCCCACTCAAGCCAAACAAAAACAATATCCGCGAAGAAGCTTCGGATGAGGATAATTGAAAACAATATAATAGTAATTCATTACAGCATGAAAATAGTTTCTAGCTGTTTACCGGGTTCATAATTGCATCGCTAAGTGCATGAAGTTTCTTCTTTCAACTACACTACTTTGTTACACTAAAGTTAAATGCGAAAGTAATTTCTTAGAGTGAAGCCTAAATCCCTCGAAGTTAGTACAAACTCTTAATGGACAAATGATGGTAGTCTCATCAGCAATTGTTCCAAAGGTTTTGCCTCATCATCGAATTTTACTTGCATTCACTTGCATTGGATTCCGCTTTTGCCTGAAAAACATACCCGAAACGCCTTTCATTTAAATAAACTAACAGTCATGTGCCTAGTTATTATCTTAATCACATCCTGTTCTTAAATGCATTAATACTGCTTTAATGTAATTATAATAAACTAGCATATAACTAGAATTATGACGATACGGCAGCTTTTAAAAAATGGTTGAAGGAGAACTCCGGAAACGCTTAGAGCTTGCTTGTGGTTACCGATAGAGCTATTGGTAGCCTCTCTCCATGAACTCGTCACTTTCTTTGAAGCCTCGCTCAGTTCTCAAAGCTTTGACGTCTGGAAAGTTTTCATAACTTATCATGCTAAGGTCTATTTTTTTATTGCGCAAATGATCTCCCCGTAAAATAATGAGCAGAGCCGGCCACATATAGGACGATCATATTAGCACAGAGACCTGCTTGGCTATACTGCTGAGAGCACCCTATGAAGATCCTTTTTTGTACGCTGCAGATTATGCATTGCGTCATATTGAGCGCTTTGTTTATCGGACTTCCACATACGCATTAATTAACGAATTGAAAAGATATTTCTGGAACTGGTAAATGTCAAAAATTATCTTGCACGTTTTCTAGTAAAAGCTAATATATGGCCAATGATTTTGTTGTTAACGCAATGTTATTCTAGGTTGCAGTATCGATTGGCGCTTACATCAATTTTTAGTTTTGTAGAAATGTTACGTATCTGCTCCTCGATCGATTCCTCCTCCAGTCCTGCTTTTTCCAAAAAAATCCTGAGAAACTGTTCTGCCAGATTGGTTAGCTATTGACCTATGTGAGGGCGGAAGGAATGTAAGCCATGATTTCTTCGTGCAGAAAGCGCAGCTTAGCGCGTTTCACTCGCACCTGTACAAAATAAAAGTACTTTCTATGATAGATTGAAGCTAAATAGGTTGGCCTGGTGACATTTTGCTTAAGTAATTACCCAGTCAGCTCTAAAGTGATACAAACTATTCCGTGTGTAGTGCACTCTAGTTTATGATATAGCTTTGTTAGCTAACATCTTAAGACGCTATTTACGCTTATTTAACACCTTAACTAAGCTCTTCATAAATCTTATCTTTATAGGACTTGTTGTCCTTTTCGGCTTAGCTCCAGAGAAAGTTCTGCGTAGATTTTATCGCTATTACGAAATTCTCATCCGCACATCGTCTGCTGATTTGAGAAGGAGGGTTTCCATGCGAGAGGGCCTTGATCCACTCGCCTTTCATGGAGAAAGAGCAAATTCGACACAAAAAAAAAATAATATAATTAGTTTTCCTTGTACCTGAATTATAAATAAGGTTCAACTACATGTTAACTGTTAGCTTGACAAGTCTGGCTTTCCTAATTCTTACTGCGGTATTTTTATTCTAGTCGTGATATTGAAACGGGCTCATAATTTTTTGCGCAAAAAAAAACTTGAACTTGCCTCTATTTTTGTCCTTTTAGCCGCCCAAAGTAGCGCGAAACGTTATCAGATTGTTAGCTATAAATGATAAGTATCCCAGTAAAGCAGTAGGTTTCAATGAGATAAGCAATAAGCACTTGAACAATGCCCCTATATTAGCTCTGGACGGCGCTGTTTACTTAGAACCCAGGTAAAGACATCCTTCTTGCTTAGTGGTTAAACGCTATACTTCTCTTCATCCCTAAAGGTAAATCAAGTCCTAGCCTGCTAGACCCGTAGAGTGCCAAAAAGAATGTATGCTAACAACTGCTAGTACCCTTGGTAACAACAAGGCTAAGTCGATTTCTGGAGATCGAATGTCGTCCCGGAGTAGCAGCACGACCTTCGGCGTGACTAATCAATCATGATGGCGAGTTTGTCTCTGTTGGGCGATATGAACAACCCACTGGTTAGGTGGGCAAGGATACTATTCGCCGTATTGATGGAGCTTAATGCGGCCTTCAATTCAGAGCGAAGGGACGTCGCCTTGGAGATTCTGATCAAAAATCTGAAGCTTATAATGGCTGTTCAGGAAAGCCAGATGAAGATCGAGGATGGCCTAATAGAACTTCCCCCTTCACTCACACCGTAGGTCTCACGTGGAAGTCTCACCTCAGTTCCATACCGCTCTCGGTGCTTTTGAAGGGTACCCGCGAATGCCCGAAAACCCAAAAATCTCGAGAAATTAGTTGTGTACGCGTACAACCTAATCATTGATGGACGTAGCCGTTTCCAAGTCCAGCAAGCAGTAGCTAGTTTGCATGCCATCTTAGTGAGGTTCAACTTAATTGGGAATCTCACGAAAACGGCGGTGAGGTGTTTTCCATCGGTAAGTCGCCCTCGCCCACGTAAACAATTTCCCGATCTCACAATATCTCTCAAATGGCTGCCTATGGCGTAGAGATCATACAACAGAAGCTTAGAGCGACTAAACTGGTGCGTATTTTAAGTGTAATTTTAACGTAAGCCATATTGCTTAATATCGGCATGCGATCTCGC